TAAAGCAGAAGGATTAATAGTAGAAGTTCTTGGAAAAGAAATGGGTACTAATTTAGCTATAGATATAGCATTGCGAAAACATTCTATTCCATCTTTTTGGTCCGAAGATGCTCAAAAGCAATTATCTCAAATTAGTCATAAAATTAATTTATGTGATTTTAAAAATCGTATAGATATGAGACATATTCCTTTTTTTACTATTGATGATGAAGATGCTCGTGATTTTGATGACGCTGTTTTTTGTAAAAAAAAAAACAATTCAGAAGAAGGTTGGAATTTATTAGTAGCAATTGCAGATGTTAGTTACTATGTTAAACCCAATACTGCATTAGATAAAGCTGCTTTAGAAAGAGGTACATCTGTATATTTTCCTTCATTAGTTGTTCCTATGTTACCAGAAAAAATTTCTACAGATTTATGTTCTTTAAATCCTTTTAAAGAACGTCTATGTTTGATATGCGAAATGAATTTATCTAATACAGGAGAATTAATTAGCTATAAACATTATGAAGCAGTAATATGTTCTCATGGAAGGTTTACATATAATGAAATTTTTAAAATTTGGAATGGCGATATTTTTTTGCGTTCTAAATACAAAAAATTCTTGAAAGATATTGAAAATTTATCATATTTACAGAAAGTTTTTAATAGAGATAACATTTCTAAAAAAGGTATCTATTTTGAAAATATAGTAGCTAAATTTGTTTTAGATTCTAATTTAAGAATTAAAAATATTTATCAAGATATTAGAAATGATGCGCATAAATTTATTGAATCATGTATGATTTTAGCAAATATAGCTTCTGCTTCTTTTGTTCAAAAATATAATCATCCTGTTTTATTTCGCAATCACAATCCTCCCAAAAAAAATAATATTGTTACTTTTCGTTCGTTTTTAAAAGAATTAGGTCTGTCGTTATTAGGAGGAGAAATACCAGAATCTATACATTATTCAAATTTATTAAAAAATATTTCTAATCGTCCTGAATATGAAATGATTCAAACAATATTATTACGTTCTATGCAACAAGCTGTTTATTCACCAAATAATTGTGGTCATTTTGGTTTATCTTTATATAGTTATGTTCATTTTACATCACCTATTAGACGCTATCCTGATTTAGTACTACATAGAGTAATAAAATGTTTATTATCAGAAAAGAAATCACTTTCTTATAAAGATTGTGATTCTTGTTTATATAATATATTTGAAATGAAAAAAATAGGACAACACTGTTCCATGACTGAAAGACGTGCAGATGAAGCGAATCGAGACGTAATTGATTGGTTGAAATGTGATTTTATGTATAAAAAAATAGGTGACATATTTACTGGTGTGATTTCTAATGTCACTTCGTTCGGATTTTTTGTTCGTTTAAATCAATTTTTTATTGAGGGATTAGTTCGTATCGCTTCTTTAGAAGATGATTATTATTATTTTGATGCTTTAGGTCTTAAATTAATCGGAAAATCTAATAAAAATACTTATTGTCTTGGTGATATTTTAAAAGTAAAAGTTTATTCTGTTAATTTAAATGAAAGAAAAATAGAATTATCTTTGATATAGAGTTAAAAAGTATTTTATTGCTAAAAAATTAAATTGTATTGATTTTTTTAAAAAAGTAAAATATTATATAAATATATCATTTTTAATAATTTAAAAAAATTCCTTGCTTCCTTAGAAAATAAGTATAAATCATCTTGTAAGGAAGCTAAAACCAAAAGGAGCGCATTTTTTATGCGTCATTATGAAATAATATTTATGATTCATCCTGATCAAAGTGATCAAGTACCTTCCCTTATTGAAAAATATAAAAAAATTATTCATCAAAATTCTGGTATCGTACATAGATTAGAAGATTGGGGTAGGCGCCAACTATCTTATTCTATTAATAAATTACATAAAGCTCATTATATTCTGATGAATATAGAAGTGCTTCCTCAGACTATTAATATTTTAGAAACAGAATTTCGTTTTAATAATTTTATTCTTAGAAATATTATTATATGTATGAAAAATGCAATAACTGAATTATCTCCCATCATGAAATTAAAAGATGATAAGAAAGAAAAAAAATAGACTTTATTATAAATTATATTTCTATATTATTTTTTTAAACATCTCAATTTTATTTTTAATCATAAAAATTTCTTTTATTGTTACTGTTTTTTAAAGGGAAAAAAATGGCACGTTATTTCCGTCGTCGAAAATTTTGTCGTTTTACTGCTGAAAATATACAAGAAATAGATTATAAAGATATAGCTATTTTAAAAAATTATATTACAGAAAGTGGTAAAATTGTTCCTAGTCGTATTACTGGTACTCGAGCAAAGTATCAAAGGCAATTATCAAGAGCAATTAAAAGAGCTCGTTATCTTGCTCTATTACCGTATACTGATCAACATCATTAATATAATTTTATTTTTTATTAAAATCCAGAGAGAGAATAACAAATAATGGAAGTTATACTTCTTTGTCAAATTCGTAAATTAGGCAGTTCTGGTTCAATTATTAACGTTAAGTCTGGTTATGCAAGAAATTTTTTAATTCCGAAAGGTAAAGCAATTCTAGCGAATAAAAAAAATGTTGAATCTTTTGAAGCTCAACGTATCGAATTAGAAAAAGAAAACACTAGCAAATTACTTATAGCACAAACACGTGCTGAAAAAATAAAAAACATAAAATCTATCACAATTTTTTCTAAAGTAGGAAAAGAAGGTAAAATATTTGGTTCAGTTGGTATTAGAAACATTCTTAAAGAAATGATATCGTTAGGTGTAAAAATAAATAAAAAAGAAATTCGGTTGCCTAATGGTTTGTTACGTAAAGTTGGAGAACATCAAGTTATTTTTCAACCACATAATGAGATACAAGTTAGTTTTATAGTAAATATTATCTCAAAAAATTAATTTTTAATAATGTATTTCTAATTACTATAAAAATATGGCATATTCATGTTAAACAAAGTTTGTAAATTAGCTCGTCATGCGGGCAGTGTTATTATGAAATTTTATAATTCAAAAGAATCTATAAATGTTGCTTATAAATTAGATAATACACCGATAACTAATGTTGATCATGAAGCTCACAATATAATCAAAAAAGGACTGTTTTCAATTAATCCGAATATTCCTATTATTTCTGAAGAAGAAATATATAATCTTGATTTTTGTCGTCATTGGAAACGTTATTGGCTGATTGATCCATTAGATGGAACTAAAGAATTTTTAAAAAAAAATGGTGAGTTTACAGTCAATATTAGCTTAATTGAAGACGATATACCTGTATTAGGGGTAATATATGCTCCTTTTTTTGATGTTTTGTATTCTTCTTACAAGCAAAAAGCTTGGAAAGAAAAAAAAATAGGTATAAAAGAAAAAATTACGGTATCTCATTCGAAATATCTGGTTATCATAACTAGTCGTTCACATCCTGATAAAGAATTGAAAGATTATTTAGCAAATATTAAAGATTATCAGTTAAAAAGTTTAGGTTCTTCATTAAAATTTTGTTTAATTGCCGAAGGAATAGGACAAATTTATCCAAGATTTGGAAACACTAATATTTGGGATACTGCAGCTGGTCATGCTATTGTTGTTGCAGCTGGTGGAAAAGTTCAAACCTGGCAAGGTGTAGAACTCAATTATTCATTATCTTCTCGTTCTTCTTTTCTCAATCCCGGGTTTTGTGTGTCTGTATTTTAACTTTTTTTTATTACATTTTTGTTGCTTAAGAAAAATATAATTTTATGATGAATAATATTAAAGTAAAAATTTTAAATTTACATGGAAAAAAAAATTTTTCATTGCCTACGTATTCAACTTCAGGATCATCCGGTCTGGATCTTAGAGCCTGTTTAGAAAAAAAAATAAAATTAAAAGCGAATGAAACTATTTTAATTCCAACTGGAATTGCTATATACATTGAGAATCCTTATATTACAGCAATTATTTTACCTCGATCTGGACTCGGTCATAAAAAAGGAATTGTACTAGGTAATTTAGTTGGTTTAATCGATTCTGATTATCAAGGTCAATTAATGGTATCTCTTTGGAATCGTAGTCAAAAAGATTTTTATGTTAATCCAAGTGATAGAGTGGCACAAATAGTTTTTATTCCAATTATCAAACCATGTTTTTCTGTAGTAGAAGAATTTGATTTAACTAAACGTGCTGAAAAAGGTTTTGGTCATTCCGGTGTTTCTTAAGATAGAATTTTTGATATTAATAGATCCCATATTTTTCACGATATTTTATTAATTCTGGTACATGTTTTTTTAATTTATTTTCTTCTAACAAATAAGATATAAGATCTTCAATAGTAATTATTGAGTTGATTTTATAACTGTTTTTATTTTTCAAGTGATGAATAGTATGTAAATTTCTTTTTCCTTTTTCTTTTCGGTCTAAAAGAACAAATATAGAGGAGATATGAGCTTTTTTTTCCTCTAAAATATTAATAGAATAATGTATTGCAGTGCCCGATGTGACCACATCATCTAAAATAATAATTTTTTTATTTTGAATTTTTTGACCAATTAAATCTCCTTTTTCTCCATATTTTTTTTTCTCTTTTCTATTAAAAACATACGGAATATTTAAATTATAGAAATTTTTTAGAGCGATAGAAGTTGCGACAACAATTGGAATACCTTTATATGCTGCTCCAAATAATATATCGAATTCTATTTTAGAATCTATGATAGAATGTGCGTAAAGTACACCGATTTTAATAATGTCTTTACCACTAGATAATAAACCTGAATTAAAAAAATAGGGACTGGTTCGTCCTGATTTTAATATAAAACTACCAAATTTTAACGCTTTTTTTTTGAAAGAAAAATCAATAAATTCTTTTTTCCAGTTCATAAAAATTAAATCCTAGTTCATCATAAAAAATTTAGAATGTTATAGTAAATATTAATATTTTAATTGATATTTAAAATTAGCATGATATTTATTTTTATTAGATAATGTGTAGAAATTAAGTTTTATTTTAATGGCCCCTGCTGGATTTGAACCAGCGACCAAGCGATTATGAGTCGCCTGCTCTTACCACTGAGCTAAAGGGCCGTATTTTTTATTATATTTATTACTATAAATCAATTTTTTCTAATAATCTATAGTTCTTTTAAAAATTTTATATTTTTTAAAATAAAATTTTATATTTCGATATATATATTTGACAGATATATAAATTTTTGGTATATATGTATCTATATTCCTCTGTAGTTCAGTTGGTAGAACGGCGGACTGTTAATCCGTATGTCACTGGTTCGAATCCAGTCAGAGGAGATAAAATTTTTTAAAATAATATTAATCTATAATTAATTTTAAATCTTTAGATAAACTCCTTTTTTCTTTTGATAGTTCTGCATTTTTAACAATATAATCATCTACTCTGTCTTCATAATCACTTTTCATCATAAAAATTATTTTTTTAATTTCTTCATAATTCATATCTGGTGTAATATATTGACTAAGATTATCAAGAAGTAATATTCTTTTTTGATTATCTCTAATTTTTTTTTCAATATCACAAATTTCTCTTTTAATTTTATTTTTTCTTCTAAATTTATGTACGAATTCTAAGACATTTTTAAATGATTTTTTTGTATCAGACATGTTTAAATCCTTTTTTCTTTATTTTATGTTTTATTTGAATAGAAATAATGTTTAAGTAGTTTAAAATTTTATTCAATTATTAAATTCAAAAAAATGATACTTTCAAAAAAAAATAAACCTACTTTTTTATTTTATGATTATGAAACTTTTGGTTTAAATCCTGCATCTGATAAACCTGCTCAATTTGCATGTATTAGAACAGATATTAATTTAAATATAATTGAGCAACCAAAATGTTTTTATTGTTATCCATCTGATGATTATTTACCTGATCCGCATTCTATTTTAATTACTCATATTACTCCTCAATATACACAAAAATATGGAACTAATGAATATAATTTTTCTAAAAAGATACATGATATTTTAACAGTATCTAATACTTGTATCGTGGGTTATAATAATATTAGTTTCGACGATGAAATTACGAGAAATATATTTTATCGAAATTTTTTTGATCCCTATGAATGGAGTTGGAAAAATGGCAATTCTCGTTGGGATTTATTAAACCTAATACGAGCGTGTTATGCTTTAAGACCTAATGGCATCAGATGGCCTAAAAATGAACTAGGATTAACTAGTTTTAAACTCTCTGATTTAACTTCCGCTAATAATCTGAGACATTTAAATGCACATGATGCGATGTCAGATGTATATGCGACTATTGAAATAGCAAAATTGATTAAAAAAACACAACCAAAATTATTTGATTTTTTTTTAAAAAATAGAAAAAAAAATCAATTATATAAATTAATTGATGTAAATACATTTAAATCAATAATTTATGTTTCTGGTTGCTTTGGTAGTATTCGTAAAAATATGAGTTGTATTCTTCCTATAACATGGCATAAAAATAATAGAAATATATTAATTGCTCTTGATTTATTTAAAGACATAGAAAAGTTAATATTATTTTTAAAAAATATCTCATATTCTCAGAATAATATAAAAAATTTATTTGATTTAGGAATAGTATTATTATATTTAAATCGTTGTCCTATTTTAGCTCCTATACAAGCAATTCGTGAAAAAGATCAGAAACGATTAAAATTTGATAGGCAATTACATAATAATAGAATTGAATTTGTTAAAAACAATAGACAATTTATTAAAAATATTCAGATTATTTTTTCTCAAGAAAATTATGATAAAAATTTTTTAGATGTAGACTTGCAACTATATAATTCTTTTTTCAATCTACATGATAAAAAAAATATTAAAAAAATTAGAGATTCTGAACCAATTTTTTTAGAAAAAATTTATTTTGATTTTCAAGATTTTCGTTTGAAGACTCTTTTTTTTCGTTATCGTGCTCGTAATTTTTTTCATACATTGAATCGTAATGAAAAAAAAACATGGTTAAAACATTGCTTGCAAATTTTAGAACCTGATGCTTTACAAAAATATAAAAATAAAATTAGCGATTTATTAAAAGAATATTCTTCTGATTTAGAAAAAGTTTTGTTGTTAAATAATTTATTAGATTATGTTTTTCAAAAATATCAATATTTAGTTCATGAAGAAATTAATTTAAGATAATTTATTTCTTTAAAATTATATTTTTTTAAAAAAAATAACAATTTTTTTAGTTCTATATTATTTTTTGAATATAAAAAAATATTATCTTTTATTTTTTGATCTATATTAAATCGATTAAAATGTTTTTTAACATTTTGTATAATCTTATCTTTAGAGTCCACGAAATAAATAGATTTATATAAAATTTCTTTTATTTCTTTTTTTAATAGCAAAAAGTGAGTACAGCCTAATATGATTGTATCGGGCTGTATTGTAAGATCGATCCATTTTTGAAAAATTTTTTTTAATTCTATTTTTGAAATTATTAAACCTCTTATTTTTTTTTCTGCTATTACAGCTAATTTATTTGTACTTATTATTTGAATGTTTTTGTTAGGATTTTTTTTATTTGTTCTTTTCTTTATATAACTTGAATTAATGGTAGCTTGAGTAGCAATTAAACCAATAATTTTATTTTGGCTTATTTTTTCAGCATGTTTTATGTCTGGAAAGATACCAATAATAGGAAAATTAAATGTTTTTCTCAAAATAGATAATGCTACAGTACTAGCTGTATTGCAAGCTATTATAGTGATACTAATAGGATAGTTTTTTTTTATTGTCTTAATTATTTTTATACTTCTTTGAATAATAAAACATTTTGTTTTATTTCCATAAGGAAAAGCTTCATTATCTAGGATATAAATATACTTTATATTTGGCAATGTTTTTTTTATATCTTCTAATATAGATAAGCCGCCGACGCCAGAATCAAATATAAGCACTGTATTAAATTTTTTTGTCAAGTGAAAAATATGGTATTGAAATAAATATTTTTATATCTTTTAAAAGATTTTTTATCATTTTTTATTTTTTAAATAAAAATAATTTCATATGTTTTTCTAATTTTTTACGATCTTTAACATTTGACATGTTAAGTTTGTTTTCGTTGATTAAAATAGTTTGTTGTACTATCCATTTTTTCCATGCTTTTTTAGAAATTTCATTATATATTTTTTCTCCTATTTTTCCTGGATAACATTGAAAATCTTGACCTTCAGATTTTTCTTTTAAAAATGTACAAAAAATTATACGATTCATTTTTTTTAATACTCCCTTTTAAAAAATATCTTTTTTAAATTTTTCAAGTATCTTTTGTACAGGTTTTGGTAATCCTATATGTTGTGGTTTTTTTAAATTATACCACAGACCTATGTTTTTTTTTTCATAAAGTTCTAAATGAGAAGATAATTGAATTAAAATTGGATTAATGTCTAAAATAAAATGACTAAAATAGTGAATAAATGGTATTATTTTTTTATATTCATTCTTGTAAATATTTTTTTCTTTGAGCCAATTTAAAGCCATTTCTTCAGTATCAAAATTTGGAAAACAAAATAAATTTTTCCAAATTTCTTTTTTTGTATTTTTTTCCATCCAAAAAGTATTATTTAATTTTATTAAAACAAACCAATATTTTTTTTTAGGACGTATTTTTTTTATGTTTTTTAAAGGATAATTTTCCCATTTTTGTTCTATTTTTGCAATACATCTTTTATGTAATGGACAAATATTACATTTAGGTTGTACGGAAGTGCAAATTAACGACCCTATATCCATTATTGCTTGGTTAAATTTTCCAGTATTATGTATCGGTGTGATTAGTTCACTCATATACCATAATTGTTTTTCTATTTTTTTATCTCTTAAGGCTCCTTTAATTCCATAATATCGAATTAAAATTCTTTTTACATTACCATCTAAAATAGGATAAAAAAAATTTAAGGATAAAGATAAAATAGCACCTGCTGTAGATCTTCCTATTCCTGGTAATTTAATTACATCTAAAAAATTATTAGGAAAGATTCCTTGATATTGTATATTAATTATTTGAGCTGATTTATAAATATTTCTAGCTCTATTATAATATCCAAGACCACTCCATAAATATAATATTTTATCTAATTTATTATGATATATAGATTTTATGCTAGGAAAAGTTGATATAAATTTTTCAAAATATGGAATAACAGATTTAACTGTAGTTTGTTGTAACATTATCTCAGATATCCAAACAGTGTATAATGTTTTATTTTTTTGCCACGGTAAATTTTTTCTACCATTTTTGTGGTACCAATTTAGAACTAATTGTGAAAAAAGATATATTGTCATAATAATAAAAACCATTTTTTAAAAAATGATAGATGTGTATTAAAAAATATTAATATTTTAAATTAAAATTAAATCTAAATTTATTCAGTACAAATAAAAATTTAAGTGAATATGAAAAATAACATTCTAATACATCAGTATGATCAAAATGGTACTATTTTACGCCAAATTCGTAGTTTTGTATGCCGAACAAGTCGTGTTACACAATCTCAATTAAATTCAATTCAAAAATATTGGTCTTTAATGGGAATTGATTTTCAACTAAAAGAATTAGATTTTTTATCTACGTTTAATTCTAATTCTCCAGTAGTATTGGAAATTGGTTTTGGTTCAGGAGAATCTTTAGTTAAAAATGCAATTAATTATCCTGATAAAAATTTTCTCGGAATAGAAGTATATAAATCAGGAATAGGATCTTGTTTACATTTTTCTTACATTTCTAAAATTCAAAATTTAAGAATTATTTATCATGATGCAACTGAAGTTTTTCATCATATGATTATGAATAAGACTTTGTTAAAAGTACAGATTTTTTTCCCGGATCCTTGGGAAAAAAAACGCCATCATAAAAGAAGACTTTTACAAAGTAATTTTTTAAAAATTATTTCTACGAAAATAATGATGAATGGAATACTACATATAGTTACTGATTCAAAAGAATATGCTTTTTATATATTACAAGAAATAAAAAATATTAAAAATTATATTAATTTATCAAAAAATAATAATTATATTAAACAACCTATTTCTCGTATTATGACAAAATTTGAACAAAAAGCACTTGTCCAAGGTAAAAAAATTTTTGATTTAGTATTTCAACTGAAAGAATAATAAAATAAATTTATTTTAGAAAAATTTCTAATAATAAGTTTAAAAAATTTTTTCCTTTTTTGGTCGTGTTCCAATAATTGATTTTATTTATTAAAAAACCACTTTGTATTGCTTTTTGAATACTTTTTTCAATAACAATCTCATTTAGA